CCGCCTGCTCGGTCTCGGTTGAGGACGCGACCTGCCCGAGCGCTACGGGCTTCAGGCAGCCCCATGCCTCCAGACCCTGCACCGCTGGCCGGGCACTTCCCCTCCCGGGCTCCGGCGGCGCAGGGTCCGGAGGTATGGGGGCTGCCCGAAGCCGGTAGCGCTGGGGCAGCCCTTTCCCCGTGGCTGGGAGTGGGAGGGAGGAGGGGGCGGAGTTAGGGCGGGGGAAGGGGCGGAGTTGGTGCGGGGCTGGGGGGGGGTGGGAAATGGGCGTGGCCAGGGCCCGTGGAGGGTCCTCTTTTTTTATTTAATAGATATGGTAACCCTAATCTAGGCCCAGAAAAATTACTATATTTCAAGTTCCCAAATAGAGGACAGTGGGGGGTGGCGAAGAGATAGTGTTGCCAATTCTGGTTGGACATATTCCTGGAGGTTTCATCATGACATAATATTTAATTGAATATTAATCTTCAATTCCTGGAGACTCCAGAACAATCCTAGGGTTGGCAACCCTAGGGCAGCTGGGGGATACAATTGATGGGTGCTGGAAGGAGTATTTGGGGGTGCTGGAGGGGTGCGTGTGCAGTGGGAGGGGTATTTGGGGATGCTGGAGGGAGGTGTGTGTAGTGGGAGGGATTTTGGGGGGCTGGAGGGAGGTGTGTGTAGTGGGAGGGGTATTTGGGGGGACTGGAGGGGGTGTGCATAGTGGAAGGGGTATTTGGGGGTGCTGGAGGGAGGTGTGTGTATGGGGAGGGGTATTTGGGGGTGCTGGAGGGGGGTGTGTGTACTGGGAGGGATATTCGGGGGTGCTGGAGGGTGTGTGGGGTATTTGCGGGTGCTTTCAGTCCCCCTTAATATATCTAGCAACCCCGACAGCAACACAGAGCCTGGCCCCCACCTCCCGAGAGCGCCCGTGTCCGCACGCACACTGCCCCTGCTGCCCCACAGCACCAAGGTCCAGGCCCTCCAGGAGCCTTCAGGGCAGCACGGGTCCCCGCACCCTGCGAACGGGCACCGCTGCAGCTCCGCCCCCACCTGCCGAGAGCGCGCACGCCCGGCCGCACACAAACAGCCCCACCCACCTGCCGAGAGCGCGCGCGCCCGGCCGCACACGTACAGCCCCACCCACCTGCCGAGAGCGCGCGCGCCCGGCCGCACACGTACAGCCCCACCCACCTGCCGAGAGCGCGCACGCCCGGCCGCACACGTACAGCCCCACCCACCTGCCGAGAGCGCGCACGCCCGGCCGCACACAAACAAACAGCCCCACCCACCTGCCGAGCGCGCCCCCGGGGGTCAGTTCTTCCGCCCGCCATGGAGCGCTGCGGGCCCGGGCTGGGCTACGAGGAGTCGGCGGAGCGGGCTCGGCAGCAGGAGCGGCACTACCAGCTGCTGTCCGAGCTGCAGGCGCTGGTGAAGGGGCTGCCCAGGTGGGGGCGCCGGGCCTGAGCCCCTCCCCCCCCCGCTAT